CCTAACTGATAAAAGGGCATGTAAATGTGAATAGATTAAGCCTTACTGAATGTTGTTGTTTATCAGGATGCAAATAATAAAGCTTTAATTTTTGCAAAAGCTTTCATAACTTGACATTAGGATATATAGGTTGAGTACCCCTTATCCAAAATGCTTGGGAACAGAAGTGTTCAATATTTTTTTTTCAGATTTTGAAATATTTGCATATACATGATGAGCTTGGAGATGAAGGCTAAGTCTAAACATGAAATTCATTTATGAAGGTAATTTTATACAATATTTTAGATAATTTTGTACATTTTGTCGACGATTCACTGCATGAGGTCAGATGTAGAATTTTTTATCTATGGTGTCATGTTGGTGAAGATTTCGATTTTGGAGCACTTTGGACTTCAGATGAGGAATGTTCAACCCGTTTTTTCCCCCCAAAACGAACTGTTTACTCCACTCCTAAAACTTAAACTCTTGGCTGAGAGGCAAAGTTTTCATTCAACATACACATGGCTCTTAATGATGCCTGGCAGAATAACATCTATTTAGGGGAAAAGATATGCATAGTCACTAGGCTAGATGAAGAGTTTCTTTAAAATCTTTTGTAGTCAAACAATATTATTCCTCACATTCACCTTGAACTTCCAAGTCTGAGAATGACTGCAAAAATGAGTAAGAAAACAGAAATGGTCATATAGTCAGCGAAATGAACAAAATAACTTAGGGTAGTGGTTCTGAAACTGGCCAGTAGTCTGAGCATCACCAGGGAACTTCTTAGAATCAGAAATTGAGGGTAGAGTCCTGCAGTCTGTATTAATAAGCCCCCAGGTGTTTCTGACACACACTCAAGTCTGAGAATCTCTGGTTTATGATAACCAAATGCTGATTCTGAACAACCTCAATCTTCAGCATAAGGCTCCTATTTACAGCTGCGAGCCTCCAGGCACATGTTTCTATCTTTCCCCCCTCCCCCCAATATTCTGATAGTGTAGTCAAGACTGTACCAGGGAGCCAAGGCAGATTATCCTCTACCTCAGATTTAGGGGAGAAGAATGAACAAAAAACAACTAAGAGCAAACAAAAAAAGAGACAGATGTTCCTCTCCACAGTACAAACTACTTAAAAGCAGAGAGACAGACTGGTGAAAACTTCCAGATTTCTATCTCTGACATTCTGACTGGTATATTCCCAAAGCCACTGACCATTAATTATGAAGAAGTGGGAAGAGACCTTGTTAAAATATATTGATAAAAATTAAATGAAAGTTGATTACATGAATAAAGCTCTTTAAAGTCATTCTTGCAAGCTTTAAAAAAATAAATATACAAACAGAACGAATGAAAATTATGGGTCATGTTTTTATCTTTTAAATGACTGTTTATACCATAATTGAGAGATATAATCATGCTGTTAGAATCATCTGAAATAACAATAACAGCTGCTTTTTTATTGTGGTAATAGAGGAAAACATAAAACAACTCCTTTTTAAGAGAGAAAATGAAGTAATGCCACACCGAAATGGTCACATAGCCAGCCAAATGAACAAAATAACTTGGGGCAGTGGTTCTGAAACTGTCCCCAGGCCAGTAGTCTGAGCATCACCAGGGAACTTCTTAGAATCAGAAATTGAGGGTAGGGTCCAGCAGTCTGTATTAATAAGCCCCCAGGTGTTTCTGACACACACTCAAGTCTGAGAATCTCTCGTTTTGAAAGTGGATAAATATTTTACCTACCCTCGCCGTTAGGGAGAAAATCAGATGTTCTTGGTTCCTTGGTTGTAGTTTTAAGTCTACAACCCACTTTTTGTCCACAGGATTAGGCCCTTTTCTTAGTTGAAATATCCAAGTTCTGTTGAAACGTGCTAAGCCTGACATTCCTCCAGTATAGGACTACACAGGCTTGCATAAATAGGGACAGATCTGTGTTGGCATACATCTGACCCCCTCTCTTTGCACATAGGACAAGTTACTATGCATTAGGACATCCTGGCTGAAGTCTTCTGACACACACAGTTGACTCTGACCCAACAGGGAGGTATGGAGCCAAGAGGGCCTATCACTGTGGCAACTCCTGACAATAGGCCCAAGCACAGCCCTCCCAGCTCTGAAGTTACATGCAGATCCACCCTCCAAAAAGATATGCGAGTAGATATTCTTCAAAACAATATCATTTTCTGTTAGAAACCACAATCCTCCAACTCAGTGGCTCTGCATGAACACAAACTTTGCTATTGAACTATAGCGACTAAATGTCCCAGATTGCTCTGAACAGTCCAGGGGTACTACCCTTTAGGCCTGTGTATGAGAAGGAAAAGGCATGGGAGACAAACAAGTCAGAGGCAAGTTTACGTGGGGAAATTTGCAGGCCCACTGCTCTAAGCTGCCTTCAATATTTTGTTCAGTGACTGTGGAAAACACTTAGGAAACCCTCTAACAACAATCTCAAGTAGAAATAATTCTCCACTTCAAATGCAGAACTCAGGATAAAGCAAACAGCAGGGTTTCTTCCTTCTTATTTCAAGGGTACTAGAACCACCCAGAGCCCACTCTGTATGAAGCACCCTCCTGGAAGATAACAATGTTGAGTTTATCCCTGTAACATGTCCAGCTGCAGAATCACTGCTTTTGGGAATTTTACTTGTAAATTCTTCCAAAATGATGACCCCCAACCCCCCCTACTATGTCTAGCGAACTCAGATGCTCAAAAGGAAACGTGACAAAGAGCACACAGTGTCAATGACTGCCCTCATCCACTCAACAAATATTTATGCCAAAGATCAAAAGTGGCAGCCCATGGATCTCTGAAGCCATCCCTCAGATGTGTATTGTTTGGCCCTGATAGGATTCTTAAAAGTTTAAAATATTTGCCAATACTTTAAAATGTGGAGTCATACCTGAAAGTTCAGATTTCCACTTTCTCTTGGGAAATCAGCAGCTCCAGCAGCACTGGGCTGACATTCCATCCATGGACTCTTCAACTGCAGTTAAGTGGCACTTGAGAAAGGACACTCCCTATCCAGTCCTGCCTGGGTCCTCCCTCATTCAACCCTCCAAGCATTGGAGTGTGTAACCCCTGGTGAATGGCTGGAGATCATCCTTAGGGAGACTACATCTGGCTTTTCAAATTAATGATCCTCTGTCAGGGGTTCTCACAGTTCAGAGCAAATAGGAATTCATATATTTAGATCAAGACCTTATCTGGGAAATGGCAATAAACAGGAAAGTTAGTTTGTTTGATTTTTTGGGGGGGGGGTTCTTCTATCAAAAAGCAATTCTCCTGCTCCCACTGAACTAAAATGAGAAAATGAGCCTCAGCATGTTAATATTTATGAAGTAATAGCACATTTAGCCTCTAACATTTAAATAGATAATAGATAACACAGGAAAATAAAATGATGTTTTTAATTGACCACCTACCAATGAGTACAGGCAAGATTGAACAATAGTGGCTGAGAATTCAAGGTGACATGACCATCAATGAAATTAGCAATAATGTATCATGTATCAGATCTAAAGAAAATAACTTTAACATAAACTCCCAAGAGTAATGACAAGTTCCTTAAAGTCCTGGAAAAATGCAATTGCTCCTCCTTACTGCCAGAACCATAAAATTTTAATATGTGAAAGTTAAAAATAAGTTTCAAACAAATGATCACAAAATGAAATTCATTTAATCATGGTTAGTATTCTGAGATAATATGTAGTAAGATATTTTTATATCTATATATAGTAGTAGTAATCACAAATGAAAATTGCTCTATTTACATAAGGAGTTCTGACTCTTAAGATATTAAGCTATTTTACAAAGTAACTGATAAAATGTAAGACAATGAAGTTTTATTTTCTTCAGTTCAGCTACAGTCCTTTTGTGAAAAACTACTGAAGAAACAGAAAGTCATTCAATTACAGACACAGGAATTATGAAATAAAAAAATTAAAGCTTTATTTATAGGATGTTTTTCTCATCTTACTATTATTAATTTCCCAGCTACCAAAAGAAAGTCACATGGTGCAACTTGAGACTTTATTTATTTATATTTAGACAACTCTACTTCTCCAAAGGACCTAAAGTACTTTGCAAACATGAAATAACCATTTTTAAAACAGTATTTTGACATGGAAGAAAAAAAAACACATTACTTTACACATTAAAGGAAAAACAGCCTGTTTCCAAATCCACAATCATTGTAGTAAAAGTTTTCCTCTCCAGTTCGATAAGGACCTTTTAAGGAAATAAAAGTTCACTGGTAACAGAACACTTCGGTTTAGTAAACTCTGAAGAAATCATATTAGAAACAAAAATTTTTAAATGATTTTTAAAAAATATTAGAAGCCTCTTCTACTACACTGATTTTCAAATCACCCAAGTATGTATTGATTCTTTCTCCAATAAGTGGGTAAAAATTTGCCCAAAAAAGGCCTTCCCACTCAATATCCAGATGCAGAATTGTACTTTGCTGCCAATCTGATAAAGTCTGGTAACTTTTCCCTAAGCCCCGCTCCGAAATCGCCTCCGGACCGGAGACCTGCTGGTACTGCGGTGACCACGACGCGACTGGCCAAATGGATTAAGGTGCAAGACTCATCCGAGATTGAGCACTCATGAAGACCTCTAGGAACCCAGCCTTGTGCCGCGTTCCATCTTCCACACGCACGTACACATATGCACAACCCCGGCAAGTCCGGTCACATCCCAGACACCGCGATCCTCCCCGGACGCCCGCTTCCTCCAGCGTCCTCCTCGGATGCACTTCTCCGTCTCCCACTCCCCTGATCCTGCCAGCCGGCCGCTCCTGCCGCTCGCCCAGCCCCCGAACGCCTTATTCCCCACTTCCAGGTCCCAGGAGAGGGACGAGCCGGCGCTCAAGCGCGCCACGTGGAGCGCGCGCGCCTGCAGCTAGACCACAGCAGCTCCTTCAAGTGGGCTCCCCGCCCTCCCTGCACCTCCGGCCCGACGCCCGCTGCCCCCCGGGCCGGGCCCGTCCCCGCGCCTCCGAGCCCGCGTCTTGCCTGGTTGGGGTCCGTGGCGCGGAAAACGTGGCAGGCCATCTGCGACTCGGGGTCGTCGGGCTGAGCCTTGATCAAGTAAGCAAAGTAGGTGAGGTCGTGGCTGTTGTGGATGAAGCGCGAG